AAATTCGGATTGAGTGTCGGCACTATACCGTAACATGTAGGGAGATTAAGCTATTAAGATTACGATGGTATGACAAAAATTAGGTTTTATTATTTTCACATGCTATTTTTTGAAGGAGCAAATACAAGGATACTTATAGTAAAAGGAAAAAGGGCCAATCAATCCTGATTGTACACTTCGGAAAAGTATGGACCACATAAAAAACATCTAGAAAGTTGTTATAATAGAATGGTGAGGTAACATCCCCCCTCGAGCTACACGGGAAGGTACAGACAGTGAGGCTCGAACGAAGCGAGCTGAACCGTATTGATGGGAGAGGTTTAGTGAAGATGTCCGCTAGCTGGTTTTTGCTGGAAACAACAGAGATATTGAGTGATTTTGCACTAACTCAATCTCTGACGAAGTAGTAATCCAAGTCCAAGTGCTTCACTCGAGATTTGATGATCGGATTAGTTGCCAGCCGATGTTGTCGCAATATAGAGTAGGAGGGGAAGGAAGATAGATGTCCAATTCTTGTAGTAAAAGTTGAAGCCAAATGACCTCACACGTGGTTAGAGCAAGGGCTTTGTATTTTTGCCTTGGTAGTTAATCGAGGTGATGGTTTGTTGTTTTTTTTTGTTCAGTTCCAGGAGATGAGATTGTCTTTAAAAAATATGCATAAACCACAGTTGGACTTGTAATCACCGGGACAGTCGGCTTAATCTATGTCAGGAAAAAGAACAATATAAGGTGACTCTGTGTCAGAAAAAACAAGAAGTTGGGGAGTATTGGATTTTCGAATGAGTAGACCATGATGCATTGTATGATGGAGGTACCGTAGGATTGTTTAATTGCTGACCAGTGTGAGTCTTTAGGAGCGTACATGAATTTGTAGACTTTGTTTACTACAAATGAGACATCGGGCCTGGTAAAGGACATATAATGGAGGTTGTACGAATAACACTAGAGTTTATTTTAGATTGGAGAAGTCATGATTATTAGTGGTAAACCGAACCATGCCATTGGTGTTTGCATTGGTTTGACATTAATCATACAAGTGGACTCCAAGAGGTCATTGATGTATTTCCTTTGGGAAAGATGAATTTCATCTGAATACTTGGAGACTCGACGCCCAAAAAGTATGAGAGCTCGCCTAATCGTTTGACAGGAAATTCTACAAGCAGGTTGATCAATTTGTTAATCGCAAAAGTGGAAAAACCTGTTATGATGATGTCGTCAACATAAATTAACTTAGAGAAGCATTCTTTTGCGTATAATAAAACAGAGATGGGTCAGCTCGGCATGAATGAAAATCAAGCTTAAGAAGCTTTCTTGATTGCATGCCAAGCATGTAATGTTGGTTTTAGGCTATAGTTGGCTCGTTTGAGATGACATACAAAAAAAGGATAATCGGGGTGAGTGAAGTCCGACTGTTGTGCTATATAAGCCTCTTCATCAAAGAAACAATGTAAAAGAACATTTTATTTGTCAAGTTGTTGCATAGACTAGCCGCAGGAAGCGACAATAGATAATAGAAGGCGTACCATGACCTGTTTAACCACAGGAGAAAAAGTGGCGTGATAGTCAACCATTTGATGAAAGCCTTTGGCTACCAACCATGCTTTGTAATGATTGATCTTGCCATCAATTTTGTACTTCAGACGAAAAATCCATTTGCAACCAACTATATTCTATGAGAGGAGAGCTGGAACTAATTCCATGTTCCGTTTCTTAATAATGCTTGCATTTCATCAATGAGAGCCAGAGTCCACTGTGGGTCACGTAAGGCTGAAGTCACACTGGTTGGGATATGAACAAAGGTCTCAACAGTGAAATTGGTGGGTTTTTTTTAGGGCCACAAGATCGTTCCATTAGTATGAAACTTGGGTTTGAAAATGTTGTGGTGAGAACTGGTCATGATAGGAGGACTATCTTCTGATAAAGAAGAAGAAACTTGCATCTGCTCTAGGGGAATGTAATTAGCGCATGTGTATGTTGGAGTGGTAGAGGATGGGACAGATGGAGAGTGAGTGCTTGGAATAGGTAAAGAGTGTGGAGAAGAGTTGGAGTGGGTTGGGGACTGATCTAGATGATAAGAAGGTGGTGGATAAGTGGAATCAACAAACGGAGACACAAAGTTAGGAGGCATGAATATATGTAATCTAGTGGTGGGATTTGTCGATGTAGATGGAGAGGTGTGTGAAGCATAAGGGAACAAAGTTTCATCAAAGTTTACATCATGGTTGGTGAAAATTTTATGTGTAGTGAGAGTAACAAAGATACCCTTGATGATCGTTGTTGTATCCCATGAATACATAAATATGAGAGTGTGGTTCAATTTCATGACGAGTGTATGGATAGAGATTGGGCCAACATGCACAACCAAACATTCGGAAGGTGGAATAAGATGGGGACCGATGATATTGGAGTTGGAGTGGAGATTTGTATTGCAGTATTGACGATGGAAGTCGATAGATTAAGTTGTAATAAAAAAATACGAAATCCCAAATTTTGATGGGAAGGGATGTATTGGTGAAGGAGGCTGAGGCTAGTCTCGACAATGTGTCTATGTTTTCTTTCAATCGATCCATTTTGGAGATGCAAGTGAGGGCACAATATTCGATGATGAATGTTGATTTTGGTGAAAACAGGTGGTGATGATTGAAATTCACCCTCGATATGATTAGAAATACTTAATGCAATAATTAAACAAAATTTCATTTGTTTGTGGAAGGCTAAAAAAGTAGGTAAAACATTGGATTTTCTTCGTAAGGGACACAACCATGAATATTTAGTGAAATCATCAACAAAAACGACATAGTATTTATGTTCCATTGAAGATAAAATTGGGAAGGGTCCCTATACATCTGATAAAAACTAGATAAAAAGAGTATGGGGACTTAGATGATAAAGGCGGATAATGAAGCTGGAGAGACTTGGCAGAGTGACAGCTGGAACATTGATGTGGTGATAGTGAACCATGGACAGGTAGAGAGTACTTCGATATTATTTGTTGGACAAGACGAAGAGAATGATGTCCTAAACGAGAGTGCCAATAAGAGACTGAGGTGTGTTCACTAAGATGTTCTTCAGATGGATGGTAGATGAAAGAACATACAAGTTGTTTCTAGATTCCCCTCAGAGTAAGGTGTTGTGAGTATTCTGATTTCTGATCCTTACCAAAAAACAGTTAGGATGAAACTGAAAATAAACATTATTACTATAGCAGAAATAAGAGATAGAGAGAAGGTTTTTTGTTTATGGATGGAACATGTAACAAATGCTTGATTTAAAAAATACCAGTTGGGGGTGGAGATGTTTGAAAAGCTAGTGTGTTTAATGGGTAAAGAAGACCTATCACCTACTTGAACTGAATCAAACCCATTGTAAGTCGAGATGGTGTCTAAGATATAAAAATCATTGGTGTTGTGTTGATTTGCACATGTATCTGGATACCATAGGTTACTTGGAGTGTAGGGAATAGTAGGACAAGTAACCTATGGTGTGGCTACAATAGATGACTAAATCGGGGTAGAAGAGTAGTGACCTTCTGTTGTGAAAGATGATGGAGGGGAGGCTTGGAAAACTTGGTTAAACTGATGCCAACATGTAAGGGAAACGTGGCATGGTTTAGAACAGACTTGGCATGTGGGCTTTTGCCTAGAAGATGATATGGTTTTTGGAGTATTTGTGAAATGGGACTGGACCAGGAGCAGAATTAGAGGTCTGTTCCTTTCTATTAGAAAATTGTCCTTGTCAGTCCTGGTTTCCATAACTATGACCTCTACGAGAAGCTCTTCATGGATACATTTGTTGAGATCTCTGATGCTGAGGGAGTATGATGGAAAAGTCGTGCCTCTAAACTGAGAAGAAGGCTGAGAAGTTTTGTTGTAGAAAAGGGATCCGATCGAGGGATGAGGGAGGCAACAATAGGTACAAAGTCAGATCGAAGACCAACAAGAAAATACGTTGTAAATTATTCATCAGAGAGTCAACAAGGCTCTTGGTTTTATTGTAATATTCCAATACGAGGTCTCCCCCTTTCTTAATGTTGTCAGTTGGGTGTGAATCTGGATGATTCTTGCTTAAGATTTGATAGTGAAAAGTTTTTCTGAAGTATACCAAACAGCAGATAAAGTGCCACGATGAAAGACTTGGCCTACAATTGACTCAGACAGGGAAGAAATGAGAATCGATAGTAGGAGTCGGTCTTGTTGAAACCAAATGATGAAATCAAGATTTAGTTGGAGTTGTTGATTGGGTTGAGGAATAGATCCATCAATAAACTCAAAGAGCTTTTGTCCATAAAGATAAGGAAATATTTTGTGCTCTCCAGAAAAATATAATTATCATTTAATAACTTGATTGAGGCTAAACAGAAAGGGAAGATAAAGGGTTTGAGAGATTATATTTAGGTAGCGAGGCATCTGAAGAAGACGAAATTTTGGAGGAAGGGGTTTCAACCATTGTTGCCAGAGAGCTGTGGCTCTAATACCATATGATGGTATGACTGTGCACCTCAGGAAAACCTGGACCATATAAAAAGCATCTAGAAAATTGCTGTAGCAGAATGATGAAGAGAGTCATGTTTAACAAAAATTGGCCACTCACCACTATACAATGTATATAAAATGTGTATTATCTACGTTTCATATGTTAACCGCCGGTTAGATTGGGTTAATTATACCCAATCAAATTTCAGGGTTGGGTTTCGATAAGAGAGAAACTATAATGAGAAACGTAAGAAGAGAACTGAATTAATCCTAATTGAATGTCAACACTAAAGAGGTATATAGATATGTACCAATCAATTCCCTTCTAAAACACAATTTATAGATAAACATGGATTAAAAATGATCAAGAGTTCAGATCACCGTATTTTTCCTTCTCACACGATGTTCGCCTCTACTTTCATTTCTATTTGTGAAGAGTTAGAAGAACCTGGGCATCCGAATAACTGATTTGACCCGAAACGGGTAGATCCATATCAAATTTATCTACGAGTCGCCACCAAAGGAAATGGTGCAATATTCATTCAGGAGGGTTTTTTACGACAACTGTAAAATATGGAGAGGGTATTCATTGAAACCTAGATGCTATAGTTTACTGCAAAGATGGAGTGGGAAGCGGACGAGAAAGAAGTAAAGGCCGCCGGAGCCGAGCTTCTGCCGGACGGACGGAGAGGACTCCGCATTCGTGGCTGGGAGATCGAGTCTAGTAATCGTTCTATTCTCACCTCCCTCAACCTCCAATCGTACGCTTTCTCTCTTCATTTTTCTTCAATTTAGCCTCATGTTACTTATTTTTTACATTAAATTGGTGTTAAAATTGCTAAAGAATCTTTTTCCTATTGAATAGGAAATACTACGAATTAAGTCGTCGCTATAATGTGTATTTTTTTTTTGCGGGTGTTCTGGAGACACTTTATGTAACCTCTTTGATCAAGCCTGTGGTTCCTACGAATTGGAGAGTGATCGAGTACTGCTGTTGTTTTTATCATACGATAGGTCATAAGGAACTGGTTTCTGGATTACAATCGAGTTTCTATATGTTATGAACTTGAGTTGACTAGCTATTTCTGTGGTTTGACAAAGAGGTGGCTAATGTGCAATATAAAGCTGCTGATCGGTTAATACACAATACTAGTGTACAATAATTTGGATTGATGGGTTGGCATTTAACAGCGATCTTAACCTGTTGAGATTGTTGATAACCTATCTTTGATCATTTCCAGCTCATAGTACACCAATAGGGGATTATTTTAGAGGTATTAAATGTAAAAAACCGCCGTTAGACAAGATACTAGTGATATTTGTATAACTAGAGTTAAGCTTCTAAAAAGCTTCTTATACATTTGAGTTTAGCGGATTGGGTGCCTAGAGCATCTCCAACCATCTGGCAAAACTTCAATATTGCCGGTTACTCCTTTCCAACCGACCGCCAAAATCTGGTGGTTTTTGCCGGCTCTTCAAATTGAACGGCAATAATGCTGTATAAATCTCCAATCGACAAAACCCTAGGCACACAGATTTGGTGATCATTTTCATATGGCCCACAACTTTGATGTTTTTAGAGTGTGGTTGGAGTTGAGATATTAATGGGCATACTTTTTTAATTTTTGGTGTTTTTTTGGCATCAAGGTTCGACATGCTCTTAGAATGACTTTTTTTTTTTGTGTCTATGACAAATGAGGTGATGACTGGCCTTATCTTTTTTAGAAGCTTTAATGATAGATATTTGCTATCCACATGTTGGAGAATTGTTTGGATTTTGATGTCTGTTTTGATCAGCAAATGAACTTGTTAATGAGATCAAATGCAAGTTTCGTTTCCCAAACAATCTACACATTCAAGCTTTATATGTTGACATTCCAAATGAGTTTTTTTTGTGTAGAGACAGCTCATAAGAGCTCAGTGATGGTGTCTACTGTCTACACTCTGACTTCTGCATAGTAATATATTCTATGGTTCATTTTGCACACTCAGGTTGGTTGCTCAGCATGTTGCACTGTCAGTTTCCTAGAGGTTATGCTATAACCAATGTTTACATCAAAGTTATACCTCTGCAAGTATTTTATATTTGATACTGTTTCTGGTTCATTTATCCTAGTTTTATTCTGATACTTGATGTTCATTAAATACACAAAGTAGAACCATGACTATACATAATCAACACAAGTGAGCATGGGATGTTCTCTTGTGTATCATCAGTTTTAATATTTAAAAGTACTACAAGTAGTTGTGTCTGTATCATACTGTTCACTTCAGATTATATTTTTGATGTTTCTTGGGCTGCTTGTTGAATTGAACATTGGATGTGTTTTGTTCAATAATTCAAAATCTGTCATAATATGGCAGTGTTTTATTGTTGTATATCATTACATCTACGTGTTTGTGTTGGAATGGTTGTTGTTTACTGATTGATAGGTTGCAAGTACGATGCTCAGTGAGAACTAGAGGTGGCCAAGGCTACCTCGAGTGTTCCAATTCCATTAAAGACAAGTGAATTTATCTTTAATGGAATAATCACAAGTTTGTTCTTGCAGTCCTATGTTCTTTAAACTATATATTTAAGATTTTTTTAAAGTTAAAGTACTAAACGTTTTAGTATTACCCTTTTCTTCTTCTTTTGGCTCCAGCAATACTCTTTGATAAAACAGTTTCTTATCAATGTATTTAGTTATTATTATCTGTGATAGGATAATTTCTTTTAGTTTTTTTTAATCTAAGGTAAGGTATTTAGTTTCTATATCTAGTTATTTAGGTAACACGTAGCTCAATTTGTTTTCATACCTTGCACCGACAGCACAAACTTTTAATAGATACCATGGCACATGTTTCTTCTTGCCCAGTATCCTAGCCAAAAATTCCTGTTCATTCCTGATAATTTCGATACTCTCTCTTAATATGCTTTGCAGATGGGAAGAAAAGCTTCAGACATCCCACTTGCCAGAGATGATATTTGGGGACAGTTCCTTGGTTCTTAAGCATATGAGCAGTGGAACAAAAATTCAATTTAATGCTTATGATGCTTTAGTTGGCTGGAAGAAAGAAGCCCTGCCACCAGTTGAAGTTCCTGCAGCTGCGCAGTGGAAATTTAGAAGGTTACGGTGTATCTTCTTAATTCGTAGTTGATTGAGCATTAATCACATGAAGCAATTGAAAACTTTATGTACAATAGGAGCAGAACAAAACTTCAAGTTTGAGGACCAGAAAAAACTAGAGTGCTAGTACCACATGTAGTTTTTTTTGGGATCATCTTACATGAAAATATGTTGGAATTAAATGTGCATATATGTTCAGTTACGAATTGTGCTGTCTGATTTGTTTGGTCATAATGAAAAACTAGACATGCCAAGGGTACCCTATCGTCATTACAGACTACCCAAAATTTCCACTTTCATGTAGCAATACAAGGTCGCCTGCTGTAATGCGCCCCTTTTTGTACGTTTAACAATCTCTATTTTAACATTTTAGTATATAATCTTTTTCAATTTTATGATTGTTTGCATGTCAATAACATCTGCATTCAAGATTTATGACTTGAGACTTATTTGTGATCTTGATTAATTGATTTTGCTACACTCATCTAAAGGAAGTATTCTCTTTGACCTTTTGTAATAGTTAACCGATCTACAAAGATGCAAGTTTGCTGTAGAGTGCCATGCTATCTCACATTTAAATTTTTCTGCATTTGCAGCAAACCCTTTCAGCAGGTGATTCTAGACTATGACTACACTTTCACCACACCTTATTCTGGAAGTGAAACTGTCGAGGTAAATCCTTAGTTATTTATACATCTCTATCTGTATCTTTGTCATGCTGGTGGAGTTGAGAATTGAGATATCCAATGACTTCCATCGTCTTGTTTAATATTACTATGCACTTCAAAGTGAATTGGGGGATGACATGACCAGATCACATTGTATTGCTAAGAGTATTTGATATAATTTTGAAAGGGTTGCTTTTGTTCTCTGACATGGAAGGTTACGGCTTCTAAATATATTCTAGACCATGTAATGATTTTCTTGGGTGCTACTATTTTAATGATCAGACTGGCAGTGAAGCAGACTCTGAGGGAAACAGCTGTTGTCTTAAATGGGAGGAGTGTGAAGAACAGATTAATGTGGTTGCACTGGCATCTAAAGAACCTATTCTCTTTTATGATGAGGTTGGTGACTTGGATGATGGAGGATGCTAGCAGATACAAATGTATATTGTAACTTCTGACTTCTTTCTCTCCCTTGATAACCAAACTTGCTCTATGCTAATAGGTGATTTTGTATGAAGATGAGTTGGCTGATAACGGAGTCTCGCTTTTAACTGTGAAAGTGGTAAATATCTCGAACTCAATGACAGTTTCTGGTTAATCTAGCTAAGCTTGCTTCATCTTAACTTGAATGACTGAGGTGGTTTTTTCTTGTGGTTTCTAGAGAGTGATGCCTACTTGTTGGTTTCTTCTCTTACGTTTCTGGGTGAGTTCTCTTTTATGCATTTGGCCACTAAATTAATATGTGCGTTCTGAACCTTCTATGACTCTATTTTCTTTTTTTGGGCTATTCCTGTGCTACAGCTCAGAGTTGATGGTGTACTTATGAGATTAAGGGATACTCGTATTCTTTGCACTTTCAGTGAGAATACAAAGCCTGTTATCCTTAGAGAGATCTGCTGGAGAGAAAGTACATTCAAGGCACTGGCTTCTGTAAGACTTCTCTTTCTCTCAAATATATTAAAATCCTGGTTTAACTTTCCTGCTGTATTATACCATTTCCTTGACCACTCGAACGCATAAATTGTGTGATTTGTTGGTTTTTGGAGTGTAAAAGTTGTGCCTGTCATTTTGAATGCTTACAGGTTGGGTTCCCCCCAACAGGAGAAAAGAAAAAAATCCGTTCTTCTTTTTCCTCCCCTGATTTACATTCATTTGCAGTTTAGATGTTACTGTTGAATGGTCAATGGTTAACTTTTTGTTGATTTTTTAGTGTATCATAATAATTTGGAATAGAACAAGCGTCGCACATTCGATTCATTTTCAATAAATCATGATGGTATTATTCACTCCTCTTCAAATAGGTTGTCCTACATGTTAGTCGTGAATGCAACGTGAGTATAACCAAATTTCCCCCCTTAATAAACTAAATCAACATAATATAGCACCCTCTAAATACTAATTGAGTAACTAACAAAGTTACCACCAAATTCACCACAATTACTTTTTGTAGAAAAACCATGGACTTGGTACACATTTCACAATGGTGCTCTTATCTTCAGAAAAGGTAAAAATGGTAAATTGATGGTTGCTATCGATATACTCATACTGATTTGAGTAGAATGCAGATTCCAGATTCTCATTCGGATATTTTTATTGATCGGTAACTGGTTAGTATTTTAGGTTCAGCTATGATCTTGATATGAAATGGTCTCCAATATATTCTTCTGTTTGTTAGTTTATAGTTCTAAGAATGTCTGTAACTTTAATTGTGAAATAATGCAATTTGAATGTATTGTTAAGTTCATCAATAAATTGTGCAGAAAGGATATCCTTCTGATTCTGCCTCATATAATGATCCAAACGTCATCAGCCAGAGGCTTCCCATCGTCTTGCATAAGACCCAAAAGCTTAAAGTCCCTGATAGCCTGTAAGCTTTACCTTATTTCAGTATTATCAACTTTTCGAAAATTCTGTATCTAGTATAACAATTAGAAGCGATGATATATGCTTTCTGGAAAAGTGAAAGAGGCAGACCTCTACTCTGATTATTATGTCCTGTAACTGCTGCTTCAAAGCGTTTATAATTCTAATTAACAATATTTGATGATGTATATTCAGTTATTTTTTCGTCTAGTTTGTACATTGTCAATATGAGCTCAAAAAGTGAGAAGACAGAGATGTGACAAAACGCAGCTTGAAATTTGTCTTGTTTTCATATATTCTTTGTAGTCGAATATAGTTTATCGGTGTGAACCTCCAAGCTTTGCAGAGTATTTAAAAGGGATATAGGGTGCAAACGGAAGTTAGAATAGAGATATGAGTAAGTATGAAAATGAGTATGAATAGTCGAAGGAATAGTTATACAGTACATTCCTCTGAAGCTAGCTTGTAGCTTTTATGGTTTATAGATGATTACTTGTATATCTCAACCCCTAGGGCAAGAAACGTAATATAGACATTTTTATGTTTCCTTCTTTTGTAATCGAGTCATAGTGACAACCTATGCTGTTAATTGCGGCGCTATTGCAGCGGACTAAGATAAAGTTACGGTGAAAATTGCGTTTCCGATATTAGTGGCGCAATTGATCGATATTTGAGGTGAAATTGTGGACCGATATTCCGATATTTTAGCTTGGGCCTCTTTAGAACTATGTTGACTCGGATGCCGAACCTATTGCTTGCGATTAGCTCGTTTATGAACATTTTTCCTATTTTGTTTTGTGAAACTTGTTTAAGTTGATGTTTTGATGTTGAAACTATATTTTTAATTAATGCATATGATATGTTTATGTATGCATACATACATACATATACATATATATATATATATATATGTATATTATGATTCTAAAAAATATTATATGAACCGCAATTTTTGGACCGCTATACCACCGTATACTACCCTATAACCGCTATTTCAAATATCGGTCCTGACCGCAATTTTGTATTTTCACCGCTATAACAGCATAGGTGACAACCCTAGGCAAAACCACATTAAATTCTTGAGTAAAAATAACTACTTTCTAAAGCAATTATACTTCTTATTCTCATGGCATTTGTTCAGTATTGCATCTGGGATTTGTTGTTTGTTTTTCTAGCTCAATATGATGTATTGCAATGATTGACATCAGAAAGAAATTCATTCATCTCAGGAGAATATGAAAAATATATGCTATGACTAGATGGGATTATGGGTATTTAGTGTGTATAATTTCTTAAGGAGCCAAGCACAATGCTTTTGCGAGGGTTGCTTCTATTATGTTTTCCTTTTCTAACCAATTCAGTTGATTTATGGTATGCTTGAAAGTACATCTCTTTAGAAGAGTTGGATTTTCAACCAAGATGCAACTTTTTAAGTCATACAGATTAATTAGGTTTCTTCAACTTTATTAATGCGAATAGTAGAGTGTTCATCTTTCCTTCCCTATTAAGAAGAGATTTGGTAGCTATTAGCTATAGAGAACATTGTTGAACATGAAACTCCTAAATCCTTTTGCAAATATGGTGGTTAAAGAAAAAAGAGTGTTATTTGAAGCCTATGGAACTATAATGCGAGAGAGATAGTGAACTATATTGAGTGTTTGCAGAGTTCTGTTCAGATTAATGGCCACCTCATAAAGTTAATGACGTTGCAAGAGGCCAATCTGTTTTCATCAGATGCTCTTAACACTACCAAGATGTTTCCAAATTACAGCTTAAGATTCAAGTCAAGTGTAAGTGAATCTGATGGCTGAGAAGCCAGTTGTGGATCCAAATAAAAACTTCCAGGCCACATCAAACTCAGTCCTTCCCTGCTATGCACCCAAGTGGCTCCATACTCATCACTGCTCTCTGCAAACATAGCTACTGCCGGCTCTCTGTCTCTGCTTGGCTTGTGTACAAGTGAGTGGGCCTGCACACCGAGTGATCGATTAGCTGAGAATTTGGTTGGCTTGGTGAGTGAATGGTATCTTCTAGCTGCATCTCTCTCCCTCTTGTGGGCATTTTGGTGACCCCCCAGTGCTTGTGGACTGTAGAACTTCCTATTGCAGAAGTGGCATATCTTGACAGAGATTGGTCTTGATGATCGTGAACAAGAATCTTCTAGATTTTGGCCCAGGCTAAGATTCAGCCACCCTTTTTTAGGAGCATCTGGATCTCTACTCCATCTGGTATTCATCAAGATTGTTGATTACCACCTCAGATTGAGAGTACAGTATGGAAAGTGGGATATTGGAAGTAGGTTCTTTTTGTGGGATAATATGTGTGTAGAGTAGTAGGCTTTAGATCAGGGAGGAAAGAAATACATGAGAAAGAAGCTATATCAAGAAGGAGAAGCACAAGAGGTTACTCTCTCTCTCTCTCTCTCTCTCACACACACACCCCAAACATTGTACTCTCGTAATTGTCCCGTTCACACGTTGGTTAGTATTTGGGATGGGATATTTTGGTGTCGTCATCCTATAATGTTACTCATTGTATCATGCCATCTTCCTGATATATATAAACCACTCAAATTCTCTAAGGATGATAAATGATATTATCAGGTTCTTAACCAATAGGGCCAAACCCTTGTACTATTTCCCACTTGCTCATCTTTCAAGTGCACCAACTTTATATATATGGTTCTCTTTAAGAGTTGCTAAAAATGATATATAATTGACAATCAACAGCACTTTTCAATTAAAAAATCATGTCAAAAATCTTGATATTTATTTGGATTGGTCATAAGTTACTTTTATATATTTATTTGGATTGGTGATAAGTTAAGTAACTGGTGATGAAAGGTTTTGTGTTGGTTTGTATGCATGAACTTGGTGTTACTGTGACTTGATGATATCTTGTTTTCTTGGTTGTTTCAAGTATTGTTGTGATTGTTCAGCAAAGAAGATAAAGATGGAACCCACCATGAGGATGTAATGCAGTTGTTTTAGATCTTGAGAATCATCCCATGGGCCATGGTGGGGTTATGCTAACTGCTCATTTGTAACCCCCTCTATTTGCAATAATGGTATGGTGGGGTTAAGGTTGCCAATTAAAAAAAGTATCAAAGGACTGTTTGTTTTGTTTAAAAAGCCAAGAGTTGATGTGGTAGTGTTATGGGTTTGTAGTATAATTCCATTAAAACCCACATCTATACCTTTTAATCATCACAAAGCTGCCTGCTTCAACCACTAAATAAGTCAACTTACTATGTAACACATGACTTCATACATGATATTGCTCTTTTTTGTATGGAATAGAACTTTTTTTTTTTTTCATTCTTTTCAAGTAACGAAATGTGTTAAATCGTTTAATACTTTGTGATATATTATGTGCGGCATGAGTCTTGTTAAATCATGTTGTTTTTGTGTATGAGGGATGTTTCATGTATCAAGTTTGTGTACGTTTCTTAGATTCACTTTTGGTTGAGATAACTTTGGTTCGGTTTAGACTTTTGAGTTTTCGCCTGTTGGTACATGCACACCTACTAAAATTGTACTAAGTTCTTGGTTGTTAGGTTGATAAATTAGTCTGGAGTGCTATCATAGTTTTGAGTTAGGGGCCTAAGTTTGAGACTTTTGAGTCTATACGAGCATCTCCGACAAATTCAATATAGTTACTTTAAAATATTGAACCAAAAGTCAAAATCTTTATAAAGAATTACATTTAACTCAAACATGTTTTCTATTTCAGAGATTTCAACATCTCTTGTATTATTAAAATATTCTATAACTTTAATATATATATATATATATATAATAATAATAATAATAATTCAATTTCCAATAGTATTGGGTACGGATATGAAATTAATTTCTATCTTCACACCTCAAGTTTTAGAGAATTTTATAAACTTGGAGTGTTATCTAATTTTCTTTATTTTAGAGAACAATATAAAAAATATGTTGGAACAAAATAAAGAATACAAACTTAATTTTAGAGAATCTATTGATGATGCTTTTAACATTGAGTTCGTAAGTACAAAGAATGAAAAAGAAAACAAGACTAATTTTTCTTTTTCAAAATTTTCATCCCAAACATGGAAAGGGAAAAAAATAAATAAATATAAATAATTATAATACACATCTATATCCATTAATGACAATCTACTGTAAAATAAATAAGAATGTATTTATAATAATTAACGTTTTCTTCTTTTCCTACTTAAGAATATAAAACTTTATTTATTTTCCTTCCAATTTTTGTTAACGCTCTAATAGTTACATTAAGAGGTAACCCCTAAATCGTTAAGAGGTGAATCTTGTTTGACAAAAAAAGTCTGTCTCTTAATGGTTCTAAAATATTCTGAATGATTTTTTATCCATGATCTTCCTTAACCATTAAGAACCCTAATTTCATTGTACACAATTATCAAACAATTATATTTTATTTTACATTATATCATGAGAGCCTCTTAATCATTCTACACCAAATCATTCAGCAATTACCAAACAACCTAGAATAATAAATTTTCTTTTATTTATTTTCCTTAAATATTGGATAAGACAGCGCAGGTTATTTTAGTTTTAGTCATGAAAAAAGGTGTTTGTTTGATTTAAATATATTCGAAATCCAAAAAAGGAAGGAATGACCGCACCAAGATTTGGTCATTAAAAAAATCAAAGTACACCTGCTGCTTCATTTTATTTATTTGGCTACGAATTTTTCAAAGCTATGTATGGAATTAGTAGCTCAAATATATAACAAAATCAGCTCTCTTTTAATGGTCAACAAATTACTAGTTTGACCATCATCAAATCGTTAATCTATTTACATACGAATACATTTGATTAAAAACAATGAAATAAAGAAAAACCAAAATATCGTAAATATTTAGATGAAAAGAAAACGTAACACGTGCTCACGATAAAAATAAATGTCGGTGTGTAAAAGTGGAAAAATGAGTGTCATATCATGAGGGAAAAGTGGGTGTGTGGTATACTCTTGGCCTTTCCAATATCGAAGGGACTCGTCCCATATTTAACATCGTCCACCTACTACCACTGTCTCTACCTCTACAACCACCCATCGCGACTACCACTAGCACCGTCGACCACCCCTACCTGCACCTCCACAATAATATTTCACCACCTCCACCACATCTACCTCCTCACCACTGTTGCCCGTCACCAGTCCACCACACTACCATCCACCATGTTCATATCCTTCACAACCACCGTCATCCACCAACCATCATTTTCTACCTCCACAATCAATTTTGCTGCAACAATCTTCATTGTGCCTCAGTCAATTTTATAAAGATCTTCCAAACCAAATAAAATATAATTTACATTCAAATTTGGTACTACCATAGATGTATGCATTTATTTATGTATATGAAAATCGTGTAAAAATGTTTATGTATTAAATTATTTAAAATATTTAATTCATTTGTGTCATTTATAACTATTTATATGTATGATATACAAATCCTCAAACAATTTTTAAGGTCAACTTGTGTAGTTTTGTCTTATCCACTCCTAGTCATATCAAACACTAGACATACACTTGTCTTATCTAGTTTTGTCCTGTTCAGTCTTAGGCTCTTGTTCGATCCAGTTCTATACCGTCCAATCTATTCCTATCATGTCTACATATCAAACACTACCGAAAGAGTTAAAATATAAATACCCATTTTTTTAGCAGTAAGTTTGTCTAACTTTTATGGGTTTTTCATACCTATTAAAATAACCCATAATATAAGCAATTTGTTTTGAAGTAAAACGGTCGCGTAACGAGATTTACATTTATAAAAGTATCAAGTTAATTCATAGATCGCATAACCAAAAAACCTCCCTTAAAATCAACAATAAAACCGAAATCAATCAAAAAACTTAAAAAAATACTTCAAAACGGTGGAATTCGGCTAAGAACACATCGATCAGACTTACAACTAAGACGTGTCAACGCATCTTTTTCCATTTGGTAAAAAAAATGTATTTTTCCCAAAATCGGAACGATTAACTTTTCCATGTATCAACGCATGTTGACTATTTCACATGAGCAAACCGTGACTTTATGGACCTTTGATCTACCATAAAGATGTTGCATCTGCGCAACAAAATTTTTGGGTCCAACACTGGTTTTGGGCCCCTGTTCTGCGGTATATGCATCATCATCATAGTATTTTGTGTTTAAAAGTACCCAAAGAAACTATTTTCATATAAAATGTCAGAAACGGACCTGATCATAAGTATATATGCCTGGATTATTATTAATAGATATAAACACTCGAATTTGAGCTACCCACCCACGACGTTATAAATTCGACAAACAAGTCGTGTTTACGCATCTTAGCTGCGCATCAAAATGTATACTCTCTTTCGACATTCTTGCCACCATACTCCTCCCATTGTAGTGTATTCTTTTCGTCAACTCCATCGCCTCCATATTCCCGTCATCCGAGGACTAGGGACCCAACTCACGGAGATCTCCATTGTTCCACGAGATACTCACCGTCATGATTCCCACGTCCTTTCCGTCACTGAACGACTCCCCCATTTGTCTCGAGGAAGTACAAGATGTATGTAAATATCATTCATGGTGCCTTGGATCAGCATCTCAGCTAACGACGCGCTGAAACTGCACACCAAACAAGTTTTGTTTTAGTATCTCGGTCTCATGACCATTCCAATCTTTTTGTAGGCCTTTTTTATTACACATAACATACATGCATACATACATACATACATGCATACATACATACATACATACATACATACATACATACATACATACATACATACATACATACATACATACATACCCATTCCATAATGGAACCATCTTTAGCAATTTTTGTTGGATAATTAAAAGGCTTGGTTGGGGTTCAAGAGGTTTGTTGATCAGATCATCTTCAACCTTCCCCATGCAGGACCTGTTTGCAGTGTCTTGATTACAAGCAAAGGGAGGTGATAGATGCCATTGAGTTGAAGCTAATGAGTTTATGGTGTTACCTCAGCAGCAGAAACAATGGCAGACAAGCTTTCTTTGATGATGGACCTGTGCATACCATCAGTAGCAGTGAACATGTGCTCTAATGGATACCCTTCTTTGCCTTCAATCAACCACTCCTTTAGCAACCCGTATCAGAAACATCATGATAATTACTCGACTTACCAAAATTGCACTCATCAAAGTAGTATTGACAAGAGAGTATTTGTATAGATTTGCCAATGACCAATTAAATGCTAAAGC